TGGTCTTTTCAAACTCTTGCTATGTGTCTAAGAGCTGGAAAATGATTAAGAATGACTGAAGAAAATCAATGTCTTTGAGCTGTAGTGTTGGAGAAGAGTGCTGAATATCCCAGCTACTGTCAAAAGAACAAACTGATAGGACTTCAAGAAAGTACAGCCAGTGTGCTCTTTGGAGGCAAGGATTAAGAAACTTCATCTCACATACATGGGGCATGTTGCTAGGAGAGGCTCCTCCTTGGGAAGAAGTATCACAGTTGGAAAGGTGGAGAGAGTCAGTGAAAAAAGAGGAAGACTTTCAACAAGATGGTCTGAAACAGTGACTGCAGCAATGGCCTTAAGGATGTCAGAGATGAGGGATGACGAGGATGGCACAGGATAGGGCAGGATTCAGATCTGTTGCTCACAGGGTCACTATGAGTCATACTCAACTCAATGACACCTAATATCTCCACCAAATAAAACGGTAAGGAGTGGCAGAGAAAACCCAAAAGCCCATGACTCCAATCAACGACCTATTGGAGGAGAGAAAGATGGGCAATCCCCTTCCATGTTGATTTACAGCATCTGAGGGTCAGGAATGAGTTGGTTCTGACTTGAAAGAACATAATAACAACATCGTAAATTAAAGCATCGTGTATGAACACATGAAAATTCTCTGCTTGTAAAGTCAGGCTAAGTAGTCCAGATGAAATGTCCGTATTCAATTCCACACAAAAAAAAATTAAGAGGAGCAAAGGAAAGAAGCACAAAAGAACTGAATGTTTATGTGCCCCTGAAGAGGTTTCCTCCAATTCAGTTACCAAAGTTCCTCAAGGTAGGGGTCCTCAGTTTCTACTGACCATTCTCCTTTCATCCAGAACCCTAAGGATCTGGAACAAGGCAATATTCTTGCAAAACTGGCTTGTCTTTCTCTTGATAATAGCTGACTAAATGCTAGGTATGGTACTAAATGCTGTAAGTGGATTATCTTTGTTCATCCCCACAGCAACCTCAGGAGATAGATACTATTATTATCTCCACTTTACAAATGCGGAACAGGAGGATGGAGGCTTGGCAAGACTGACAACTTGTCCAAGGTCATAAGTCTAGGTATGTGGTAAAGTCTAATCAGAAACTCAAACAACCTGCTTCTGGACCATGATTCTGTTAAACAGTTACTATATGGCTTACTCTCTTGCAGAATCCAAATTCTCAGTCATTTACTAGTGCAAGGTGAGACTAATATAGAAGAAAATGCCCAAATTAATCATTCATAAATTATAAATAAAAATCATTCAAAGTATAAATTCACAGAAGCAGAAAGAAATCAGGTGCTCTGCTCTAATGGAAGTTAAAGAATCACATATGATAGAATACTCTGCAAAACTTAAATAAATTTATCAGCCATAGATCTCTAGAATCTCACTACTATTCAGACTGCAGTTAACCCAAAAACAGTATCTACACTGGGAGTTTGGGAAATGCAGAAACTCAGATCCTCCCCTGTACCTTCTTGAATATGCATTTTAAGCACATCTCCAGGGAATGTGTATGCCCCTTAAACTTGACAGGCGGTGCTGTTGATCTGTAAACCACACTTCAGGGGCAAAGGCCTACAAAGGGGTTTTAGTGGTTCTCAAAACATACACATGTTGGGAACCAGTGATCTAGAAATGTAGGACATTCATAACAACACAACATTATTTTCTGCTGAATTTGTACTTTTCAAAGTTTTCCAACCGCAAGCAATGCCAACGTTTTATGGCACTATTCCAAAAAAAAAAAAAAAAAGAAACTGCACTTACTTTTAAGGCTACAGTGGGAGAATTGCTCAAAGAAGAATTTAAAGTCGATGACAGTAAAATAAACTGGTACATCTTGGAAGGGGTGTATCTGGAGTGTTCTTTGGAGTCAAGAATGATGAGGCTTCGTCTCACATTCCTTGGAGAGGGGTAAGAGGCTGGGAAGGGTTAAGGGTCAGCAAAGGGGAGGAAGACCCTCAACCAGGTGGACTGACATGGTGACTACTGCAACGGGCTTCAGTGTGTTAGGAAGTGTGAGGATGCACAGGATGGAAAAAGGTTCAGATCTTTTGTTCATAGGGTCACTATGAGTCATAATTGACTCGATGGCACCTAACAATAACTGTGATCATATCTGAGAGGAGGTTCAATGCATAAAAGAAACTGCTGGGGGGAAAATACATCAAGACCTGCAGATCAAGGACATAAGAAATCCTCTGTAACTAACTGAGTAAAGACTAGAGTTACAAGGGATTCTGCATCTATTAATTAGATAATGCACAAGATCATACTGGTGAATTAAAACTACTTTTAATTGCTTACAGAAAGAACTGCCTAAATATTTTAGATAAAATATTAACAATTACAGGTCAGGGTTTGTTTTTTCTTTCAAGAGATCCTGTAGCAGGAAAACTGTTGTCAAAGAAGGCTTTTTTTAAAAAAAGCAATACAAAGAGTTCAATCTAATACCTTTGAATTTACTTCTGAGTTAAAATCTATTTTTATAATTCTTTAAACCTTAATTGACTTTATAGATTTAAAATAAAGTTAAGTTTGGCAGAGGCTAAGAATTCTTCATAAATTTTTAGGCTTGCAGAAAACTGACAATACTTGCTATGTATTAAGGCTTTGTTATTGTTATGTACTGTGGAGTCAAAAAACGACTTATAGCTGATCCACCCGCAGGTTTCAGAGATATAACACTCAGGAAGAAGTCTGCCCATCTTCTCCAGAGCAGCTGGCAGATACCAACAGCCTTTGCACTGGCAGTAAAACTCCTTACCCACTCAACCACCAGATCTCCCTTTAGATTTCTTAAACTTCTCAGTCAGAAACAAATTAGCTAATCTGTGAATACTAAATACCTAACAGCTTCATATAAAAAGGAATGAATTACTGAGGTTTTGTTTAGCTGAATAGAAGACAGAAAATGATTGTGGCTTCCATTTGTCATATGGTTCCAAAAGTCTTCAATAAAAAATGGACATATTTCCCCTATATTACAGAGATAATTTTAAGGTTTTATTTTTGTTTCCTTTAAAGTCAGCAGTTTCATTCAGTTAGATGCATGGTGGGAAAATAAACTAATTCCTTCCCTAAGAAAAGCTCTATTTATTATCGCTTTTAAAAATTCTCAGACTACAATGGAAGGCACTAAGTTATTAAATTATGGTATTTTACCTAGATTCAGTGCCCAGGAAATGCAATCAGTTAAACCATTTCCTACTGAAAGGGTGGCAGTTCAAACCCAACAGAGACTCCGTGAGAGAAAGACCTTATTTGCTTTCATAAAGCTTCTAGCCTGAGTCAGAATAGACTCAATGCCACATAACAACATCCTTTTATGCCAATGAAATGGAATATTTAAATCTGAGGGAGAAGTTTGACAGGTGCGTATTACCAACTCAGTTTCAAAAACTTTTCAAGTTTACATGAGCCAGAATTTAAAAAAAAAAAAAAAAATTAAAAACGAAACGTCTGATTTATCCTCTTTGTGCCCCTAGAAATTTTGTGAAGTTTATTTCTCTCGATTGTTTTCTAATTACTGGCTAAAAAATCTTGGTATGTCTAAACGCAAACCTATAAGATTTGTCATTTTTACTAGAAAAACTGCCCTCTACTTTGAACATGTTGTTATATCTCAGCATTTAATCTTTTTTATATTATTACTGACACATAAGTCCAAGTTCCTGAAAAATTTTTTCTTCTTAACTGTGAAGTTCAAAAGATCTGTTTTTGGCTGTTTTACAGTACTGTACTTCTCTCCGAAAAAATATTTTGCTATCTAGAGATTCCTTGGACTGATAACATCTTTCAGCACAAATTAAAAATCATGAATATAAAAAAGTGAGAGCTAAATCCTATTATAAAATCAGATATAACTTTTCAAATTAATTTACTTATATTTAAACATTTTTTTTTTACAAATCACTTTGTCTTCATTCTTTTCAAAAACAAATACGTGAAACAACTTTCGTTGACTAAAATACTAGCGCCCAAATACACACTGAATTTGTTACAAGAACTCACATGAGGGGGGAAGTAATTTGGGAGGAAACCCTTGATCTTCAACAATACAGTAAAAAGATTACTTCCTTTATTGTTTCCCCCTCTTAAGGGTTAGGGTGGGGTAGAAAGAAGGAAGGAGGGTGTGAAATTCTACCTACTAACTAAAAATTTTCCTTATGATAGCTTTGGTTTGGCTGGTGCTGGTTTATGTTTATTTGTGTGTGCTTTATACCTAATGGAGAGGAAGAGAAAAAAGATATAATGAGCAAAATGACAGTTTATGAAGCTGGTAAAGTCTACGTTGGATCCAATTCAAATTCACAAGCTCCACAGAAGTCTACGGATTTGCCTAGAGCTACGAAGAATAAAAACCAAAGCAGCACCGCCCTTCTCTAAGACTACTAAAGTGTGGTGAACTTGAAGCACTCTTGTGCTAAGGAGTAAGTACGCTGGCGCTTACGGAGGAAACACAACACATACGCACACACACACCCCTCCTACCATCACGCTTGTGCAAGGAATAAATACCCTTGGCTCTTATGGAAGAAACATGAAACATTAACTCACACACCCACCCCTCCTATCACCCTTCAGTAGATTCGGACTCACAGGGATCCCACAGGACCGAGATGAATCGACTACAGGGTTTCCAAAACTCTACTTCTTAGTAAAGTAGATTACCACATCTTTTTCCAGCAGCGGAGCAGCTGGGGGTAGGTTTGAACTTTAGACCTTCTGAGTAGCAGCCAAGCACTTAACCACTGCACCACCAGGACTCCCACAAAAAAAATAAATCAAAACTTCACGCCATTATCCTTTTTTAAAATGTAAAACGAGTGGCTGCATTATAAACCTCGAAACAGCTACAAGCGTTCACACACCTGTCTGCAAAAAAACAGTCCTAATTCTCCGTTCTTAGGGCAGAAAGCTCCGTGGTAAACAAGCACGCCCTCAGTGTTAGCAGTGAGTATCCTCTGCAAAGGACTTTACCTGTCAGAGTAATTCTTTGGTCTGGAGACACCGCAAGGGCTTGGCTAGCGCGCACTTTCAAAGTGCCCAGATCCGGGGAGGCTGCCTGCGAGCCGGTGACTTTGGGGGGTGTCCCACGCGCGCGACCTTTCATTCCCAGGGACAGCAGGCGTCCTTTGTACATCCACTTCTGCAACTTTTTTACTGTCACCGCCGGCGGCTTCAGAAAGAGGGAGCCCTCCTGGCCGTCTCCTTTGCCACTTCGCATTACAGAAGCCCCCGAAGGATCCCTGAAAGGGCTCCGTAAGGAGCGGCCAGGGTCCCCGGCCTCGGGAAGCAGGAGACCGGCCGGAGTGGCGGCGGGGCAGCTCCCCCCGGTCCAGCCGTCCATCCCGCCTCCACGTGGCGGGGGAACGTCCTGGTCCCCGCGTGCGCCGCACCTGATCCAGCTGTCGCTCGGCCACCGCTGTAAGGGAGGCGCGGTGACACCCACCAAGAGGCTCTCTAGGCTTCTGCTGCAGGGCAGCCGCATCCGAGGAGTCCGCAGGCGACCTCCCCCCGACTCGCTCGGAGGCGACCGGGGCGGGGACACCTGCCGCTGAAGGTGGCCGCCGCCTCCCAACTCCCAGTCCCGCGGACAAGCAAAGTGGTCCGCAGCGCCACGGGGGGAAGGCGGCTGGTCTGGAGCCCAGGCTCCTGCAGGAAAGTAGTGATCCGCCAAGCCCCCGCCGCCCCGCCGTGCGCCCGAGTCAGGGGGCAGGTCGTGCATGGCCTGGATCAGCAGATAATAGGCCTCTCGCAACTGGGTCCGCAGCCTGCCCGTCTCCAGACAGCCGCCCTCCGCCCCCGGGGAGGAGCCCGCCGCTGGGGAAGGCGGGGGCCGCCCCTCCGCCTCCGCCCCCTCAACCCTGGGCGCGGGCTGGGAGCCGCCGGGCAGGTTCTCGTAGTAGTCGGCGGCGTCCCCACCGTCGTCCTCTCCGCTGTCCTCCAAGCCCCTCGGGGCATGCGGAAAGGAGAGCCTGTGCTTAAGGGGAGCGGCCTCCAGCTCGCTGCAAGCACGAGCCCTCAGAGTCCCCCACTGCTCCAGGCGTCCTCCAGGATCCCGCGCCTCGAGCCCCCATGCCTGAGGCGACGACGGGAATGGTTCCAGGCTCTGCCAAGCTCCTCGGCTGTCCTCGTGTGCAGGAGCAGTCGGAGCACTCTCATCGGCAGCTCCGGTCGCTACAGCGGTCGCTGCAGCGGCCACCCGGAGCCCGAGACCCCCAGCGCCGCGGGGACCCCGCCTTCCCCGGAGCCTGGAGAGCGTCCTCCTCAGAGGGTCGGCCATTCCCTCCACCTCAAAGATCAGGCTCGCCTCCACAGGGGAAAGAGGCTGGAGCTCTGCTCCAGAGAATACCGTGCTCGCTGAGGCGGCGGTGGCGGTGGCTGCTCCCCATGACCGACGCTGGCCCTCGCGGGCTCCTCGCATACTTGGCATAACTCTGCAGCGGCAAGGGGTGGGGGAGGGCGGCGATGCCGCAGCGCGCATGCCCCAGAGCTCCGGGCCGCGACGGGGCGCGCGGGCGGCAGAGCTGCGTCCCGGGAGTGGGCGCGCTTCACTGGGCCGAGCGGAGGGAGCTCAGGGAGGCGAGGGCCAGTAGTCAGTGCGGGAAGGGCGCTGGAAGAGTTGAAGAAGGAAGGACGAACAAGGGAAGACTGAGTCTAGAACGGATGGCGGCAACCAGGGTTTTGGTTAGGGAGCAGCAGAAAAAGGGAAAGTGCCCTCCTGACTGCCATCACATCACCCCCCACCAGCAGCTCCACCCCCTTGCCTCTTGCCTGAGGCCTGTCTAAAGCATGAAAAGTCTCCTTTGGAGAGAAAATAGTACTTTGAGGAACAAGTATAAGTGTATTTCATTTAGTGCATTGTAGTCCAAAAACACTCCTTTAATTGCACAAGGAGTTAGCTGAAACCTTTTGTCAAGAAAAGCACCAAGATAACTTCAAAAATGGTAGCAGGAAATAACTGCACAATTTGAAGAATGTAATCAGTGTCGCTTAATTGTACACGTAGAAATTGTTGAAATCGAGCCTTTACTGTGTATATTTACAGTGAGAAAAATCATCAACGAATGTCTCACCTATTAAGTGTATTGTCCATTTTTCTTCCAGTCAACTGCATTCTAGCACAAATAGTACATTAACCAAACACTTGTAAACTGGAGCCACAATATACTGGCCCCCAGGACTCCCCTACAAGAGTAACATTAAAAGCAGTGTTCGAATATTTGAAAAGTTTTAATGCTTTCTTTTGATTAAGACAATGACTTGAGCACGACTAAATTGCGATTGAGAAACAGTGTAACCTGGAAATTCCAATTCGATCCCAGAACATCTAAATCCCATGTTCTCTGTACCACTTTTAGAGTGTCCCTTAAAGTCACAGATCAATGAAAATCATTGATTCATAAAATTCAATGTTGTCTTCATCCCTGATTTCATGGTTACACTTTTTATACATTAAGGCTTTTTGTCTGTGTTACTCATGAATATATTCCTAAACCTACTACAAAATCTGCCCAAATTTATTGAGTAAATGAAAGTTTTCATTATTAAGAAAATATCACTTTATTTCCAAGTGTCTTTTCTTAAGTATGCTGTTTTTGTACAAATGTCACTAAATGTGTTTTGTTTTACATTACATTTATTAATACTTAGTCTCTGCATTATTAACATCAAGAGAACAAAGATTCTCACCACTGGGCCAATTGGCAGCTTCGTGATAGAGATAAGATTGAGATTGTTAGTAACTTCATCTTGCTTGGAACACTCTTGGCACCAGCAGTCAGGAAATAAAAAAATCAAATTACATTGGAAAAGTCTGCTGTCAGGGACTGAAGAGCAATGATGACAGTCTAGAGACTAAGATGTGCCTGATAAGATGTGGTCTTCACAATTACTTGTTATGCATCCAAGAGCTAGACAATAAGGATGATAAAAGGAGAATCAATGCCCTTGAGTTGTAGTGCTGGAGAGGAGTGTTGAACACCGTGGATTGCCAGAACAAACAAGTCCATCCCAGAGAGGGTAGAACCAGGCTGCTCCTTTAAAACAAGGATATGGAAGCTCCATCTCACATACTTTGGGCACATGGCCAGGAGGAATCAGCCTTTGGAGAGGGACATCATACTTGGAAAGGTGGAAGTTACAGTGAAGAAGAGGAAGACCCAGAATGAAATGGATTGACTCAGTGACTAGAGAAATGGGATTAGGTCTGTCAGAGATGATGAGATTGGCTCAAGGTAGGGCTTAATTAGGTTCAAAGCAAATGTACATAGGGTCACTATGAGTCGCAAGCAACTTAGCGGCACTTAGCAAGTCTCTGCATGCTGAAAACTTTTACCTTTATTTTCTATTTACAGAAATCTGGTCATCCTTTTAAACATCTACTCAGCTGGCTTCATGAAATTGCCTTTGTCTTCCAGGCAACTTCAGTCATGTTAGTTCTGACTCACTGCACCCTGTAGGACAGAGTAGAACTGGTCATAGGGTTTCCAAGGCTGTAAGTCTTTATGGAAGTAGGTAGCCTCATTCCCCGCCCCCCCCCACCCCTGGAATAGCGGATGGATTTTAAATACCATTATCAGTTAGCAAATACATCCTTTAACCACTGCTCAACCAGAGTTCCTTTCCAAATTCAGTGGCACTTTGTTAATACTGATTCATAATATACTTATTGATTTCTGCTTATTTATTTTCTACAATTTACAGCACGGGATGACAAAGTAAAATATTACAGTGAAATGTGCAAGTAGTTGGAGTCAGAAAATCAAAAGGGCCGAACTCACTCAGCATTTCTTAAGCTCAAGGAACTGAAGAACAAATCCAAACCTCAAGTTGCTATAATCAAGGATGCTTGAGGCAGAATATTAAATGATCCAGGAAGCATTAAAAGAAGATGGAAAGAATATACTGAGTCACTGTATCAAAAGGAATTGGCATATACAGAAGAATTTCATGAAACAACATATGAGCAAGAGCCTATGGTGATGAAGGAAGAAGTTCAAGCTGCTTTGAAGGAAATAGCAAAAAATAAGGCCC